AATCCAGTCTTTAACAAACCAGTCTTTAATAATCCAGTCTTTAATAATCCAGTCTTTCACAATCCAGTCTTTCACAATCCAGTCTTTAATAATCCAGTCGTTCACAATCCAGTCTTTCACAATCCAGTCTTTAATAATCCAGTCCTTAACAAACCAGTCTTTAATAATCCAGTCTTTAATAATCCAGTCTTTAATAATCCAGTGTTTAACAATCCAGTCTTTAATAATCCAGTCTTTAGTAATCCAGTCTTTAATAATCCAGTGTTTAGTAATCCAGTCCTTAAAAAATGGTCTTTAATAATCCAGTCTTTAGTAATCCAGTCCTTAACAAACCAGTCTTTAATAATCCAGTCTTTAATAATCCGGTCTTTAATAATCCAGTCTTTAACAAACCAGTCTTTAACAAACCAGTCTTTAACAATCCAGTCTTTAATAATCCAGTCTTTAATAATCCAGTCTGTAACAATCCAGTCTTTAATAATCCAGTCTTTAGTAATCCAGTCCTTAACAAACCAGTCTTTAGTAATCCAGTCTTTAACAATCCAGTCTTTAATAATCCAGTCTTTAATAATCCAGTCTTTAATAATCCAGTCTTTAGTAATCCAGTCTTTAATAATCCAGTCTTTAATAATCCAGTCTTTAACAATCCAGTCTTTATTAATCCAGTCTTTAATAATCCAGTCTTTAATAATCCAGTCTTTAGTAATCCAGTCTTTAGTAATCCAGTCTTTAATAATCCAGTCTTAATAATCCAGTCTTTAGTAATCCAGTCTTTAGTAATCCAGTCTTTAATAATCCAGTCTTAATAATCCAGTCTTTAATAATCCAGTCTTTAATAATCCAGTCTTTAGTAATCCAGTCCTGAACAAACCAGTCTTTAATAATCCAGTCTTTAATAATCCAGTCTTTAATAAATCTCAGAAACTCTGCTGATCTCAGTTTTAAACATCTGAACATCGGTCCAGTCTGATCCGTTTCCAGAACCAGGTTCTGATCAGCTAAAGACTGGATCCTGATCCCAAAGACCAGAAGACCTCTGGACCAGAACCAGAGAACAGAAAGTGTTTCTGACCTCACAGGAACCAGCAGTTGAGTCAGTTCTACTGATCAAAGGTCCAAAGAAGAGTCCAGAACCTGGACCTGAGTCTGCAGGTCCTCCTGAGTCCATCAATCCTTGTCTTACAGCTGTGACTCAAACAGGAATTGGACCTGTCCTCAGTGGACCCTCAGACCAACCTGACACCAGTGAAAGAACCAGAACCAGAACCTATTGAAACCCACAGAGGAGTCGGGGCCATGAGGCAGAACCTGACTGGTACCGGGTCATTGGTTCCTGCTGATCATCTAGGTTCTGATGGAGGTTCTGATGGAGGTCCAGGATCCTTCTGCAGCAGCTGCAGGACCTCGGACCGCCCGGCCCAGGAAGCTCACACGGTTCTGACTCCGTTTGGACAGAACATTTGGTCTCCATCAATCATAAGAGGTTCTGCGGGCCAAGGAGGATTTAAAAAGTCCTCTGAGACCCAGAAACATCCAGAATCGACCCGGAACATTTCACAGCTGCAAACAGCTGTTTACTGAACTCATACGGGTCAGAACCAGCAGAACAGGACGTCCAATCGGACCAGCTGCTGAAACCTTATCAATAATCTACTGAAGATCCAAAGTTTCATGTTTCAGGTCAGAACCTGCAGCAGAACCACCAGGGTTCTGATGCAGGTTCTGGTCTAAACGGGTTTCTGTGAAGCTCGGAGGTCAAACTGAAGGTCAGGACTCATCGAGACATTAAACCCAGAACTGATCCGGGACCGGCAGGTGTTCTGGTCCAGTTGAGGGTTCTGTTGGTTCTGGGTTCTGTTCTGAGTCTCAGCTGCAGGAAGTGACTCAAACCCACAGCTGATGTTCTGCTCACTTCCTGTCAGCGCCGGCAGGAATGTCAGGGAGCGAGCGCCGGCCCGCCGGCCGACCCACTGCGGCGCCGCCTCCTCAAAGAGTCCCGGCTTCAGTAAAAATAGCTCGGTGCCGAGCCCGACGGGCCCGACGGGTCAAATAAGGAAGTTTAAAGCTGAGCTGCAGCTGCAGAGCTAAATCTGGTCCTTTACACAGAGACCAGGACAGAACCGGACCTGCAGGTGTCGGGTCTGAAGACACTGGACTCTGACCTCCACTGAACCAGGGCTCAGGACTCAGGACTCAGGACTCAGGACTCAGGACCAGGAAGGAAAAGGATCTGGAGTGTTCTATGAGCTGGGCTCAAATAAAACTGAGTTCTTGGAGCTGAAGATAAGAGCTGCAGAGTTTCACAACATGGTGCGAAAAAAAGACAGAAGAATGAAAACATTCCAGTGATGAAGCAACTTGTTCCTCTGAGCGAAGAGGAGGAGGGGCACAGGGAGGGGGGAGGGGGAGACTAACACAGCTGAGGCTGTGGTGGGAAATCTGGGGGCAACAGGACCAACATTTGGCCGACATCAAACCTCTGAGTAACTCAGTTCCTCATCCTCTGATGAAGAGTTTAAAGCTGCGTAAACATCTGACTGGTCCATGACCCACAGACTGTCTGAGTCAGAACCGGCTCCAGTTTGACACTATACCATGTTAGCTCAGCGCTAATGCTATATCAACATATATATGTATATACTGTATTAGCTTAGGCCCCACCTTCAAAGCCCTGGACAATCAAACCTTTAGGACACAATGAAAACATCAAACAGAACTGGTTCTGGTTCTGACCCACCTGGAGGGAGGGGCTGTTGTCAAAGTTGTAGGCACTGGGTCGGCCCTCCAGTGTGGAGAAGGCTACGTTTCCTCCAGTGAGCGGCGAGATGTCGCTGAAGTCGTCGGTGCAGAGCACCTGCTGCTCATTCTCTCCGGTCCGGATGAACCCGCGGTTCGGTTTCTGGTAGGTCTTCTCACAGGACCCGCTGTAGTACTGGTACGGCACCCAGGGCCCGGACTCGCTGGTGCGCTTGTAGATGGCAAAGCTCTCCGGTCTGCTGGTGTGGAACTTCAGCCTGACGTAGGTGATGTCAAAGGCCTTACCTGCAGAGACAGGAGGGACAGGTTCAGACCTGGTCCAGGTCTCACTGTGGGTCAACAGGTCTCTGGACTGTAAGTCTTTCAGTTTGTCTTTAGCTGCTTTTCACAAACACTCCTGAAGCTGATCAGACCGGCAGGAGCCAAGATCAAAGATCAAAGGTTGACCAGACCATGTTCCTCCTGAACTACATCATCATCACCACCATCATCATCATCATCACCATCAACAACAACATCATCATCACCATCACCATCATCATCATCATCACCATCATCACCATCAACAACAACATCATCATCATCATCACCATCAACAACAACATCATCATCACCACCACCACCATCATCATCATCGTCATCACCATCATCATCACCACCACCAACAACATCATCATCACCACCACCATCATCATCATCACCATCATCACCATCATCACCATCAACAACAACATCATCATCATCATCACCATCATCACCATCAACAACAACATCATCATCATCATCATCACCATCATCATCTTCATCATCACCATCAACAACAACATCATCACCATCAACAACAACATCATCACCATCATCATTATCATCACCACCATCACCATCAACAACAACAACAACAACAATAAGAACAACTAGGACCACAACAAGAAGAAAAAGAACAACAACTAGGACCACAACAACTACAACCATAACTACTACAAGAACAAGAAGAAGAACTACAACAACAACCACAAGAACAATAATATCAACCAAAATACAACTTTATTTATAAAGCACTTTAAAAACAACACTGTTGGCCAAAGTGCTGTACATGATTAAAAACATAAAAAGAATGAAGTCAGTAAAATGAGCAAATCAGCAACAATAAAAACATTAAATCAACATCTGAAACTGAGTTAAAAAGTGTTTGAGAGCAGAAATCAGGAAGTGAGTGGGTCTGTCTGACCCAGTTCAGCCTCCTCTGTGATGTAGGAGCACCAACAGGAAGTGATGCTGACCTGAGCGTAGGCTTGGAGCAGGACAGACTGGTGCTTCAGGCTGACACATGACGACATGTAAAACCAAACATAACAAACATGGAGCCAGTGTGGTGACTGGAAACCAGGTGTGCTGTTTCCTGGTACCAGGTGAAGGTGAGCAGCAGGGTTCTGAACCAGCTGAAGTCCAGTCAGTAACAACATGGTGCACTGCAGGACCACAAGAACCATTCAGGTCCTCGGATCAGGACCCATCAGACAGGTCCTCACTCCTCAGAGGAGCAACAACAACAAGCACAGCTAGCTGCTACGTTAGCATGCTAATCAACACACATGACCTGAGACCACCTCCTCCTGAGACCTCCTGAGACCACCTCCACCTGAGACCACCTTCACCTGAGACCACCTCCTCCTGAGACCTCCTGAGACCACCTCCACCTGAGACCACCTTCACCTGAGACCACCTCCTCCTGAGACCTCCTGAGACCACCTCCACCTGAGACCACCTCCTCCTGAGACCTTCTGATACCACCTCCACCTG